ATATATATATGATAAAACTCTACAGGTTCTGATGCTGAACACATGCCTCGACTGAACTCTCTGTCCGTGTGCTCGTAGCCACCAGCCCACACAATGAATTCGTTATCAAAACCTGGAGAAGCCTTTTTCGATGCTTGCAGAAGTCGCATCTCACAATCAGCCCGTACTGCGGATGCAAGCTTCCCTTAAGATACACGGAATCAGAGCTCTGTCGCCATAAGTGTCAGAAATTTGCAAGCACGACCAGAGATAAAAAGATAATCATTCAGCTGTAACACCTTTTTGATGCCTAGCTGCAATGCCACCCAAATGGGGCACGACGGCTGGGATACTGCCAGTTTGCCGAAGCCTTGAGGGGAAGTAGAGAGGCAGAGGTCGGGTTCGAACCACGAACCTTCCAGTCAATAAGTTCGCGCTCTAACCACTTGAGCCATCACGACCTGAGCCTCAGAGATTCATGCACTGACGTCAGCTGTCACCCTACAATAATAGCTTATTTACGTCCTAAGAAGCATAAAAATATCCAGAACCTCGATTATCTCTTTTGGGTTGCAAATGGCATGTTCACTGACTGCAGCTCTAGTAATATGACCTTACACTATGTTGGGTTATAGAGCATGCCAAAGGATGAGACAACTTCAGTTATTTCTCTTGAGAACATCTTCACCTTTCCATCCTCGAAGAGGGAAACGATGTATTTTACATACTTCATTGCCAAGAATTCCGTCAACAATCATTGATGCACCGAGGTTTTGAGGACTTTCTAAACGTTCACCTCAGTAATCCGTCTATCGTACAGAGACCCTGTCTTTCATCGTAAAAGAAGAGGTTGGAAAAAGCTGCCAGTGATAGCGGAAGCGGTGAACAGTGTCTATCGTGTCGCCAGTACTGAAGAATGGCAAGATAATTTTTATCAAGATCTGTTTTGTTTGTCATCTCGGTGGCGGAAATGAACAATGAATGACTAAGCCCGGAATAAACACAATGGAATCGCAGTAGACACTTAGCATATGGATAATTGAGAGCAACACTGCAGTTGATTGCTGAACATGATATGATCGTGGGCAAGAACAAATTTCCAGAACAACCGCTCACACCGGGTTACTCTGAAGCCACCAAGCCAGCTGAGGATCTAGTTTGATCACAGTACCGACGCACAGCCTCAATTTCTGGGTTGCTCAACGTGTCTCCTATCATTCCACCATGTATGCTTGGTTAGCACTTCACTTTCCCTAATAACTACGCAGGCTGCTGCAGAGCTATCATTTCCGTCAACATCGATGTTTTATAGGAGTACTGTGGTTTAAAACTGTGGGAAACGCACTGTCACACTAATAAAATAAGACTAGTTGAAGAATGAATGGAAGATGGTGAAAAAGCTTTGCTCTCAGTCGTTATAACTGACCGTCCGAAAGGTTCGACTCAACTGAATGAAAACTGTCATCTTTGGGGTCAGACTTTATTGATGTCAGTAAAGCCATACCTGCAATCAGCAACCAACAACCGCTCGAATGTACGCATATATTACAAAAGCATAATAGTGAACAGTCTGGAGGATTACGAAGGAACAAAGATAGGGAAGATCCATTTTAGCTAACTCAATCAACTGATCAAAAGATGTTTCGGAGAAACAATTAGCGAAACATGATTCATCCCAGCGTCACGTGAGTGGTGAAGCGTTGCGGTAACGGTATACGCGTTATGTTTGTTGTCTCTTTTTGTATCTATAATTAAGCAGTAACAAAACATCATATTTGTCTACAAGACACAATGTTAAAAAATAAGTGGAATTCTCCGCCAGCAAAGTTTTTTTCACTTTAGGCTGGCTAGTGTATACTATAGTATATAATGATTATCCACTTAAGTGGTAAGCGTGTTTTTAACTTCCAGACATGAATTACACTGTGTTTTAACCATTGTTGCCAGTGCCTACGTTTGTTAGACCACCTCATCGGGTATAACACCGCTGCTTCCCGAAAGTAAGGCTT